GGGTTGTTGATTTGTGGAACCAATTACCGCGTAACGTGGTGGAGGTAGGGTCCTTCGATTGTTTCAAGCGTGGGTTGGACATGTATATGAGTGGAATTGGGTGGTTATAAATAGGAGCTGCCTCATATGGGCCAATAGGCCTTCTGCAGTTACCTTTGTTCTTATGTTCTTATAATAGAAGCAGGATACCTTGATTGTTTCAAGCGTAGGTTAAACATACATATTGGGTGAGATTGGGTGGATATAAATAGGAGCTGCTTCGTATGGGCCAATAGGCTTCCTGCAGTTTCCTTGATTCTTATGTTCTTACTCTATCATTTTGTGATGTAAATGACGCAGTTGATGAGATTGCGAATCAAGATGATTCAAGAAAAAATTATGCAAGAATTAAGATGATAAAAAAAAACAAGAATCAAGATGATCCAAGAGGATGAAGAAAAAGTTACGAGAATTGCAATGGAGGACAGCAGTAACACTTAAGAATTATGTAATAATAAATACAAATTCGTCCTTCACTTATGGTAGAGGAAAGTCTATTTGGAAGGATTCAATTTATATGAGAATAAGTTTAGGATACAAATATATCTGGCAATACGGTGTTGATGTCAGTTAAGGAGTGTAAATTATGTAGTATGCCGCACGCCCACACCTTCATTATGTATTATGGTAGAGGAAAGTCTATTTGGAAGGATTCAATTTATATGAGAATAAGTTTAGGATACAAATATATCTGGCAATACGGTGTTGATGTCAGTGAAAAAGATAAGGAGTGTAAATTATGTTGTATGCCGCACGCCCACACCTTAGATCATTATGTATTAGTGTCACCTTATTAATAACTATAGAAATAAGGAAATAAGTAGTGTACCACATCAAATTGTTTGGATGTGTGATAATGGTATGACAGACAGAATACTTAGGAGCTACAAGCATTTTACCCCAAGAGTGTAACACTTATATGCTGTGTTTACTATATTAACCTGCAGTGTTAAATGTGATTCTTGTACTGTGATTTGTGGATTTGTACTCACTGGATTTGTGCGTCCCTTGAGGGATTTGAAGTAAAAGGGGAGCAAAAAGAGCCTAAGCTACTCATACATACATACACACTACTACAGTACATACATTTGAGATGTATTTTATTACCTCAATAAACTTACTCGAACATAAATGTGAGGATATTCCCATCATTCTCAGTTTATTCCAATTTCTGGGAAAGGGGAGGAGTTAGTGACCCATCTCGACTATATAAGGGCCTCTCTGTGGCGCAGAGGTATAAACATTGGATCCATAAGTCTCCACCATGCAACGTGCTGTGGTCTTGTCCTGCCTGGTGGCGCTCTCTCTGGCCGGCGACCACGCCGCCCCACACACTCCCTGCCAGCCCAGGAACCAGACCATCCTCATCACCAGGACAGAAGTGAACACTCTTCACCAGCAGGTGACGCAGTATGACTTCCAGTATGGTCACTACGGTTACAACGTCACCAGCGTCATCCTGGTGCCGTCGACAGTCACCCAGACGCAGACGTTTACCTCCTACCCACCACCAGATATCACCACTCAAACCAGCTACATAACAGCCAGAACCACTTTACAACATCTCTGGCCACAGTGACCGAGGTACAGGTCAAAGAACTGACCATCACCCAGACAGCTATTGTGCCCGAAACAATCACCCAGACGCTCACAATCATCAATCATGAGACAGCTTTCAGTCACCAGCAGGTGACGCAGTATGACTTCCAGTATGGTCACTACGGTTACAACGTCACCAGCGTCATCCTGGTGCCGTCGACAGTCACCCAGACGCAGACGTTTACCTCCTACCCACCACCAGATATCACCACTCAAACCAGCTACATAACAGCCACGAACCACTTTACAGAGTACAGTACATCTCTGGCCACAGTCATTAACACTCGCACCACCCAGCTGTTGGCCACCGAGGTACAGGTCAAAGAACTGACCATCACCCAGACAGCTATTGTGCCCGAAACAATCACCCAGACGCTCACAATCATCAATCATGAGACAGCTTTCAGTACAGTCACCATCACCGACGTCATTAATGCCTTCGTCACCAAGACTAAGACTGAACCCTTCACCATCAGCGAGACCAGCTACCAGTCCTACACCCAGTTTGTGACTGACACGGTCACCAGCTTCAGTAACTGGACGGTAGAGGTCACTACCACCCTCACCCAGCACCAGTTCGTCACCAAGTGTAAACCACCCAAGATCACCTACGATCACTGAACAAGTCTCAAGAACTTATTTTCACACTAGCAACTGAATTATGGAGGAATATCATTTACTTTTCTTTTTAATTTCATGAATAATGTACCTTATTTATTTATTTATTGTTTTGTCATAAACTGACAAGATAAATTGTATCTCTATTATCGTAATAAACGATATTTAAATAAATATTTAACACTGCATGTATTTCCGTAAAAGATAATATCCAACATCCCTTCTAAAATAGCCGAAATAATATAATATCTTTCTACATTTTAAACTCGAGAGCCTAAATGTTATTCAATATCTTCTTGTTATGCAATTGTTAACTGCAATAACATTATACATAAATTAAATTTCATCGCACCCGAACATAAAATGAGATCGTTAACCATGACCATGACTGAATAAACATTTGAATTTGAATTTGATGACGCCTCAATGAACGTGAACTGGGGGGGTTACAACATTACATCACTGTACATTAATGTACAACAATAATCACTGTACATTAATGTACAACAATAATCACTGTTAATGTACAACATTATATTGTATCACTGTACCAACGAGCACGCTCAAGTTATTTCTTACTCCAAGCTTATTCTGTTTGTTTCTATTTTCCGTATTCTATTTTCATTTTGTCGGAAAATCCGACACCATTTAATAATATCATACAGGCAGTTAATATTGCTGCATTGTATAAACAAGTTAACCCATAGAAAATGTAGCTTGTAGTGGAATTTTCCGTCTATAGAAAACGGGATATCATTACCACATACTATTATAAATTCACCAGCTATTCTGCTGGGAATTATTCTTAAATACATTAGTCTTTGGACTTTACCATCATAAAAACATCTCATATAAATTAACTTAATTATCAATATTAAAATAGAGTAAATGTGACCCTTCTATCACTTACTGTCATCTGGACACAGCCCGTCCTCCAAACAAAGATCCAAAAGTGATTCCATGCACCCACCAAACCCCCTGTTTATGAATGAAAAGCGGTTTACACACAACCCGTCCTCGACTCAAGTCCATTACACCCAGCAGTCAACCCCACAGACGCATTCATAAATTTTAACATGCTGTTCATTCAAAACGGGAATTTTCTCAAGTATAAATTAATATTATAATATATTAGCATATTGTGCATATATAGGCATAGGATAGGTTAGGTGTTTAGGTTCTGTTGGCGATTATTTGTATTTGTAGTACGTGGGTGAAGCATTTATAGCGTTGTGATTCGAACAAAATTCGTCAGTGAAGCACTTGTTCCGGATATGTTCGAACGTCAGCAGTTGTGAGTCGTGTGTAAACCGCTTTTCATTCATAAACAGGGGGTTTGGCGGGTGCATGGAATCACTTTTGGATCTTTGTTTGGAGGACGGGCTGTTACACACGACTCACAACTGCTGACGTTCGAACATATCCGGAACAAGTGCTTCACTGACGAATTTTGTTCGAACCACAACGCTGTAAACAGCCTGTCCTCCAAACAAAGATCCAAAAGTGATTCCATCCACCCGCCAAACCCCCTGTTTATGAATGAAAAGTGGTTTAAACACGACTCACAACTGATTTCGTTCGAACACTTCCGGAACAAGTGCTTCACTGACGAGTTTTGTTCGAACCACAACGCTATAAATGCTTCACCCACGTACTACAAATGCAAATAATCGCCAACCGAACCTAAACACCTGACCTAACCTAACCTATGCCTATTTATACGGAATATGCTAATATATTATAATATTAATTTATACTTGAGAAAATTCACGTTTTGAATGAACAGCATGTTAAAATTTATGAATGTGTCTGTGGGATTGACCGCTGGATGTAATGGACTTTAGTCGAGGATGGGTTGCTGGACAATGTAGGCCAGTAGCGTCAGTTGTGAGGGAGTGGTTAGCCATCATTGTTATTGTTTTAAGACCAGAGTCGTTGGAGCTAGTAACAGCTCCTATAAATTCTCTTGGACGATGTGTGACGAAGATCAGAGCAGTGGTCTTTCATCATCAACACGCTGTCAGCAAATACAAGGGAGGTGTCTTTCCACAACCCGTTTATCTTTCATTTATGGCCATTAATGTCAGTGGATATTGGGTGAACCAGTTAGATCACAAATAATCGACTCAAACAAGGTAATTAAGCCTAGGTCTTTATGGTTCCTTGTACAGTGTTTTCTCTGATATAGCTGTCATATACTAGGATTCTGACTTTACAGCTAGTGCCCTTTTGACAGGTCAAGAAGAGGAAGCAAGACTTTGTGCATCAGTTACTGGATGTTGGAAACTGCCCCAAAATAGGATAATTTGGTGTCTACATCCTAGTTATACCTGGTGGACTAAGGCCTGCTGTACAAATAAGATAAGGAACCTCTTCAATGTTTAACAATATATATAGTTTAATACTGTAGTTTGATTGGCTGCATATATATATAAATTCAATATAAACCCCCACTAATGTGTAGTGGATCGATTTGTGAGATTATTGCAGAAATACAGTCCACTTAACATCATACAAATTGCTATCGAAGTATACAAATTAACGTAAATATAAATTCTATATAAATTCATATAAATTAAATAAATATAAATCTCACAGGTCGGTATCCACACATTTTGCTAGAAAATTTATATTAAGCCGATTTGTTATCAAGTCTCCATTGACCCCAAGTATTCTCCACTGCTAAACTCTGATCCGTGGTCCCGAGGACAGTCGTGTATACCGAAAAAATAGCGAGTTCTTACTTGTGTATTGAAGTTTGATGGAGTCAGTTACGGACGTCACACTAGGAAGGGACACCCAGCGGTCGACTTCCACGGTACATTGTAAACTGTTGCACTGGATGGTTACGCGAGTGAAGAGTGCTTCCCAGTGGGTTCTCTCACTTTAATATTTTCCACCAACGTTTCTTGGGACGGACGGATGCAGATCATGCACTTCGCTCACTATATCTCCATCTTTTCAAAAGAGAAAAATATAAATTTAAACTTTCCGAAAAACCATGCTTAACGGAAGACAATTTATCTATCTTCTTTGACCACAAATACTTTTAGAACGGGTTTTGTTGACCAGACCACACACTAGAAAGTGAAGGGACGACGACGTACTACGGGCTCACCATAGCCCGTGCTACTTGGAACTTTCTGTTCCAAGTAGCGAATCCTTAAACAACAAAACGACGTTTCGGTCCGTCCTGGACCATTCTCGGCGTTTCCTTGCCCTGCCATCTGTCTATCAAATAATTTTCTAGTATTTCCCATAGTCTGGTTAAACTATCGGAGGGTTCTAGTATGGTTACGGCACCTCTTCACGAAGACTAACTTGCTCATCAGCACCTCTCTCTCTCTCTAAATTACCTCTGCCCATTGTTGGTGACCATCACCATCTGGTCACCATTTGGTCCGGGAGACATCTCCCGTCACGCAGGGTTCAGTCGCACCTCCACAGATCTCCAGTATCATCTATTGATACTGGTGATGGCTCAAAAGGGCCACCACTTACGAGCTATTCATGCCTGTGCCACCTTTAGGGTGGCTTCATCTTCATCTTAACACATTCACATGGGAGACATCTCCCGTCATGCAGGGTGCATTCGCACCTCCACAGATCTCCAGTATCAGCTCCTGATACTGGTAATGGCTTAAAATGGCCACCACTTACGGGCTATTTATGCCCGTGCCACCTTTTGGGTGGCTTCATCTTCATCTTAACACATTTATAAGGGAGACATCTCCCGTCATGCAGGGTGCATTCGCACCTCCACAGATCTCCAGTATCAGCTCTTGATACTGGTAATGGCTTAAAAGGGCCACCACTTACGGGCTATTCATGCCCGTGCCACCTTTTGGGTGGCTTAATCTTCATCAATCAATCAATCTGTTGGTGACTTGCACACGGGAGACATCTCCCGTCCACGAGGCTCACCATAGCCCGTGCTTCTTGCCCCGCTCCTGTGCCAGGTAAGTTACGGGCTCACCATAGCCCGTGTTACTTGGAACTTGTTTCCGAGTAGCTCAATCTATAACAACAACAACATGGTGACTTGGCGGGCAGAGTAAACGGGGAATTTAACTCTGGAACGACATCTATATTTTAGGTTCCTCACCCAATTTTGGAGTTAACATAAATATAGTTGATGCAATTGTAGTCCACAATGGTTTGTGATGATAGGTGGAATGTGTGATGTTGTGCGTTGAGGTCTGCCATCAGAATGGCGGGTAAGTTAGTGTAATGCAGTACTCTTGTTAAGTCTTGTAGTGTATGTATGTTTGTGCAGACACACGCAGTGCTCATGATGAGTGGTCAGTGCTGTACTCACCTACTTGTGTTTCCGGGGGATGAGTTTTGTCTCTTTGGTCCCGCCTCTCAACTGTCAATCAACTGGTGAACAGGGCCCTGAGCCTACTGGGATCTTATCATATCTACATTTCAAACTGTGTATGGAGTCAGCCTCCACCATTTCACTGCCTAATGCATTCATCTGTTAACTACTCTTGACACTGAACAAATTCTTTCTAGCGTCCCTGTGGATGATTTGGGTAATAAGTTTCCACTTGTGTCCCATTGTTTGCGTACCACCTGTGCTAATCAGTTATCTTTATCTATCCTGTCAATTCCCCTGAGAATTTTATAGATAGTGATCATGTCTCCCTTAACTCTTTTGTTTTCCAGTATTGTGATGTTTAGTTCCAGTAATCATTCCTCGTAGCTCATACCTCTCAGCTCGGGCCGTTTCTTTTTGGTCATTGCTACCTGAAATGGCCTGGTATCATCTTGTCTGTCATCCTCACTCTCATATTCTTCAGGTCTAGTGCAAGATTGTCTATCACTTAGGCAGACCGCCTCTGCCATTTCCTCGACACGCAAAGGCACTGTATCACTGTAACAGTTGAGCACAGGTTCACAATATCCAGAAGCGCTTAGTGACAGTGAGAATTAAAACAAAATTGCAGTGATGGACGACGGAGAATCCAGAGGTGAAAACTCCCAGACATTCTCAACAGGAAACAATAACCAGCAGGACGCAAGAGACGCAGATTAATAGAAGGGAGAGGCTGTTATTCCATACAACGTATTAACTGAACTTTCATCAAAAGCTGGAGTAGACGATTCATTTGGCTAAGGAGTTTGGATGATTTGATTGATGAAGATTAAGCCACCCAAAAGGTGGCACGGGCATGAATAGCCCGTAAGTGGCGGCCCTTTTGAGCCATTACCAGTATCGAGAGCTGATACTGGAGATCTGTGGAGGTGCGACTGCACCCTACGTGACGGGAGATGTCTCTCGTTGGAATTTGGAGAATATGAACCACTATTTAAGGAGGGTGGAAGGTGAAGATGTGGGTGGCAGGAGCCACCCACATCTTCACAGACGGATCTGTTGACACAGAATATGAGAGTGCTGGCGCTGCTCTTTGCACGGCCAGCGAACAGGCATATTGGAGACTGGAAGGACCAGTAAGAACATAAGAACAAAGGCAACTGCAGAAGGCCTATTGGCCCATACGAGGCAGCTTCTACTTATAACCACCCAATCCCACTCATATACTTGTCCAACCCGCGCTTGAAACAATCGAGCGACCCCACCTCCAGCACGTTACGCGGTAATTGGTTCCACAAATCAACAACCCTCTTACTGAACCAGTATTTACCCAAGTCTTTCCTAAATCTAAACTTATCCAATTTATACCCATTGTTTCGTGTTCTGTCTTGTGTTGATACTTTTAATACCCTATTAATATCCCCTTTGTTATGTCCATTCACCCACTTGTAAATGGATATCTATCATGTCACCCCTAACTCTTCGCCTTTCCAGTGAATGCAACTTAAGCTTTGTTAATCTTTCTTCATATGAAAGATTTCTAATTTGGGGAATTAACTTAGTCATCCTACGCTGGACACGTTCAAGTGAATTTATATCCATTCTATAATATGGCGACCAAAACTGAACTGCATAATCTAAATGGGGCCTAACTATAGCAAGATATAGCTTGAGAACCACACCAGGTGTCTTGTTACTAACGCTGCGATTAATAAATCCAAGTGTCCGATTTGCCTTATTACGAACATTAATGCATTGATCCTTTTGTTTTAAATTCTTACTAATCATAACTCCCAGATCCCTTTCGCAATCCGACTTCGCAATCTCAACACCATCTAGCTCGTATCTTGTAACTCTATCATCATTAACCTGTCATAAGAACATAAGAACAAAGGTAACTGCAGAAGGCCTATTGGCCCATTCGAGGCAGCTCCTATTCTATAACCAACCAATCCCACTCATATACTTGTCCAATCCGCGCTTGAAACAATCGAGGGACCCCACCTCCACCACGTTACGCGGCAATTGGTTCCACAAATCAGTTCTGTCCTGTGTTGATACTTTTAATACCCTATTAATATGCCCCTTGTTATGTCCATTCACCCACTTGTAAACCTCTATCATGTCACCCCTAACTCTTCGCCTTTCCAGTGAATGCAACTTAAGCTTTGTTAATCTTTCTTCATATGAAAGATTTCTAATTTGGGGAATTAACTTAGTCATCCTACGCTGGACACGTTCAAGTGAATTTATATCCATTCTATAATATGGCGACCAAAACTGAACTGCATAATCTAAATGGGGCCTAACTAGAGCAAGATATAGCTTGAGAACCACACCAGGTGTCTTGTTACTAACGCTGCGATTAATAAATCCAAGTGTCCGATTTGCCTTATTACGAACATTTATGCATTGATCCTTTTGTTTTAAATTCTTACTAATCATAACTCCCAGATCCCTTTCGCAATCCGACTTCGCAATCACAACACCATCTAGCTCGTATCTTGGTGTCAATTGCCGGCTGGAAAGATATTGCAAATCAAATGCAATATCTTTCATAGACAACTGGGAACACTTCTATGGAAGAAATGAAATGTATGCTCGTGATGGGGTGCATCTATCGAGAGCTGGGGTTGTTGCTGTTGCGAACTCGTTAGAAGAAGTGGTTAGAGGTGTTTGTTTGGGTTTAAACTGTTAGTAGATAGAGGTATGGGAATTGATTTGGAGGAAGGAGGTAATAAAAGTATGTGTTTGTGGGAGAAAGAAATTGGCAAAACGATCACTGAAAGAGAAGGTCCGCAAAATAACAATTCACTTAGGGTATATTACACTAACAGTAGAAGTCTAAGAAATAAAATTAACGAATTAAATGCTCTTGTCTGCACAGAAAAAAATAGATATTATTGCACTTACCGAAACGTGGATGAATGTAGAAAATAGAGAACTATTAGCTGAATATCAAATATATGGATTTAAACTATTTCACACAGATAGATATATTAGACGAGGAGGTGGAGTAGCCATATATGTTAGGGACAATTTGAAATGTAGTCTCAAAGAGGGAATCAAAACAGAGCCACACACAGAAACTATTTGGATTGAATTAAACGAAAAAGCTAATAATATTATAATAGGAGTAATATATAGGCCACCAAATTTAGACAGAATGGAAGCAAAGCATCTATGGGATGAAATAACTAGTGCATCTAGATCTAACAGTATTTATGTCATGGGTGACTTTAATTTTAGCGGAATAAACTGGTTGAACAAAACAGGGAATAGTGAAGCAGAAGATTTTCTAGAATTAATTGACGATTGCTTTCTTACGCAACACATTAAGGAACCAACACGGGAAAATAATATTTTAGATTTAGTGTTAACTAACAGGGAAACGCAAATTAATGACATCGAAATAGGGAGTGAGCTAGGGAGCAGTGATCACAAAGAAATCAGATTTAGCATAGAATGGAATAGACCAGTAGGAGAAAATTCTGTTAAAGTGCCAGATTTTCGAAAAGCTGATTTTAATAGCCTAAGAAATTTTTTGGGTCAAATTGATTGGAAAGTCTTGGGTATGGGGTGTGGGCCGGTCTTGGAGCGAGACATGAACCCAGCGATAGGTGACTTAAATGGGGA